AGTACGGTATTGGTGTGCCATCCTTAGCCGTCACAAAATATCTGGATGTTCCCAATGCATTGATTCCGGCCCAAACCTCAAATCCCTGTTTTGTTTTTTTATATATGTCTCTAATACTTCCATCCCTTGCTTATTCTCCAACAGCATTAAACCGGCATCCAGACGCCCACATTTGCGTTGCGCAGTAAACCAATCCACCTAAAAGAGAAAATCACCATGAAATAGTATAGAGTAGAGAGTGAGCATAGAGACTTACCGTTTCTACCGAAAAAAAGTAGCACTTTTTTCCAAAATGTGTGAAATTCTTGGGACATTATTTTGCTTCTGTTAAAGCACAAATCCAAAATATGCCACAGAGGCATAGAACAGGTTACTGAGCTCACCATGTCTTTCTACTGAGAAGTCTGGACCCGATTTGCAGTATTTATAGCTGTGCTGCTTATCAAATCTGTAGATTAGCCTCAGGCGAGAATTGAAAGCTCCTCTCTTCATAAAAAATTGTATTTATTCAGCTTGGGAGCTATCTCGGGAAATACCCGGAATGTGTAAGGGTGTTTCTTTTGATGCGCAGGATTCTAAGACCCATAAGGAAAATTAATAGAATGTTTCATTGGTCTGAAGACCTCTGATTGGTGATAGCAAAAAACTGCAACACTCAAAGGCATAATACACCTACAAAATAGTAGTACGAATTAAATAGTTTCACCGATAAAGTATCTTACATTTCATTGCATATTTTAAGGCTTATAAGTATAAGCTACATAGCACCATATGGTGATGGTTGGGAGCTTCGCTATGTTCGCAGAAGAATGGCTTAAACTAACAGTTGCTATAGCTTGTACCTTTCTAAGATGAAAGCCTTGCATTACTAATTTCTATTTCGCTGTAAATGTACTATTTTTTCTAAATTGATGTTCCAAAAATACGTTATTTTGAAGTCCACTAAATCTTAAGGTGACAACTTAAAACACACCAGATCATACAAGTAAAAAAAAAACTTTTAATGTTTCATATAATGTAATTTGTAAAATAAGGGATAATATACTTGTAATTCTCGGCTTAAGCCGCTTCTGGCTACTTCCTTTCTAAATCGACTGCGAGCGTGGATTTAGAATATAAATAAATTTGGTACATAAAAGGGACGGCAAATAAAATTTATTAATCTATTTTTTTTTAAGCTAAAAAATCATTCCTGTAGAGTCACTATGAGAAAACAAAAAATGTACAGATATCAGTTTTTAAGGATTATACAAGTATATGCATTTTTACCATGATTTATAAATTTTAATTTTTATTCATTCTCTCAAAATTAAATGATAAATGAGTTTTACTTTACAACTTAACTAATAATCATTATATTTCAGAAAAAAATAAAACTTATAAAATAATGATTATTCTTTGAGTTTGTTTTATTTTGATCAAAAATAAAACTCAAGCTGTAATTTTGCCGGAAAATAATTTTTTAAGAACATATATACAAGGTGTGTTCCAAAGTAAACAGGACTTTAAAAAAAAAAACAGAACAAATGGTTCTTTCGGCTTTTTGTACGATCCAAAAGAATGTCGAACGAGTGTTTTAGCTCGCTGGCCGGTATGGCCGCCAGTATGCCGGTGTAAGCCTTTTTAAGGGCCTCTACGTCTGCATAACGCTTTCTTTTCATGGGCGAATGCATTTTTCCAAAAAGGTAGAAGTCGCACGGTGCCATATCAGGTGAATACGGCGAGTGGTTAATGGTTAAAATGTGATTTTTGGTCAAATAATCGGTCACAAGCGTCGATCGGTGAGAGCAATTTTTGGTCGTCAGTCAATTTGTGCGGAACAAACACACCTTTCGTAAGCCCAAATGTTCGGTCAAAATGCAATAAATCGATGTTTTGGAGATGTTCAATTCAATTTCCATCAATTTCACTGATGTTTTCGGCTGATGAATTCACGCACAGTTTCGATGGAATTTTCGGTGTTGACGAATATTGATTGGCCCACATGTTGATCGTCATTTATGTCCTCACGACCACTTTGAAAACGTTGAAACCACTCGTGCACTCTGCCATCAATTGAAACGTTTCGGTAAAAGTTTTACCAATTTTAAAGCAAAATTTAATGTTGGCTCTTTGTTCGAAGCTCATTTTCGCACCGATAACACAAACATACTGACACTTAAAGCTCAATAACTTCACTTCCAATCTATGAAATGTCATGAAATTCTCACTGGACAATCGATAGAGAGAGCAGATTCTAACGCATCATATAGATAGCGCCACCAGGGGGCGCTATATATATATTCTTCTTCACTTGAAATAGAGGCTGAAGAAAGTTTAGAATAATATTGTTTTTTGTTTAAAAAATTTATAAAATATAAATATTATACATGAAATAGTATAAATTCAAAGCAATTTAATATGGTTAATATGAAAAAGTGGGTGTTGTCCGACCAACCTAAACTTTTTTCCAATTTTTGTTTTTATTATTACAATCAACTGTATCAAATTGAAAGTCCCTGCGAACCGCATTTTATTTTATGCCCCAACTTTTGCTTTTTCGGCCAGTGTGTATTGTGAGCGAATGAATAAAATAAAAAAATAATCATTAATTTGTAATTTTTTAATAACACTTATAATGATTACATTCCATGGTAAATAAGCTTTATTCATTATATGTCTGAATAAAATACTTTTAATGATTTTTTCCAAACTATAAAATAGTGTTATTCATATAATTTGGAGAATATTGAAGAGACACTTTCATATTCTTCAAATAAAGAATTGCTGAAGAAATGTTGTCAAACATTTGGCAAACCTGCTAAATTATTTGTCTTCCAAATTTGTAGCACTTCCATATTAGGATGACTAACTGCAAAGCTATGAACATCGCAGACTTGTCCGGTTAGTCAGTAACGGCAATTTAAAATTAAAAAAAACCCGTACTATTCAAACCTTCATTCACTTTTCATAATCTGGCCGCATTAATATACTATACACGATTTTTAGCGCCTGCGTCAAGTTCAAATGAACATTGAAGCGAAGCGTTGATTTTTATTAACTGCACAATAAACTAAAGCAAACGTGATAAACATTGCTAAATGCCAGCTCTTTAAATAATTTATTAAATCAATGAATGAGCAAGCGTTTCAATGCATGAGAGCGGCTGCAAATAGTTGACTCCGATGGGGCATGACGCTAAACGAGATCTTGGACCAGTCGCTCATTTGGCTCTGCGCCGTCCACGTGTCCACATGCCGGAACATAAAAAGCCCAAATATGTGTGTATGGCCAATCGGTGGTGGCAGGGGCTTAGCGGTGGTAGCGGGCGCTGTGGTGGCTTTGCCGGTTTTGGCCGCAGGTGGGCAACGTACAACAATTTTTGCTCGTGGGCAGCCTGTTGGTTAGGTTTAGGTCTAGGCGGCACATTCTTTATATACGCTGCTATTTTTTCTGCTCTTTCTTTAGCTGACAAGTGATTCATGAGAATTCTGCTGTTAGATTGGGGCTTGAAAAGATATTGCTTTGAAAATATTTAATTGATAATTGATTGATAGCAGTAGAATGCAATGTTCTCTTTAAAGAAAAAAAAGACGGAAGAATGATTGGGCCGGTATTTATTCATAAATATGAAATACTCTATACTTAGCTATTTTTCTTCTCTCAGCTATTATTCTTGCAAACTTGCGATTCTATTGATATACGCTTTTAGAATTTTGATTAGACTGGGGTGGACGGATCAGCTATAAGAAATTGATGTTTATATTGCTGAGAAAGTATGATATCGCACACTTTGTTTTAAAATTCATAAACAATTCCAACATAAAGCACTAAAATTGTCTATAATTTAGTGCTTTATTTAATAATAATGATAAAGAATAAATAAAGAACGGACACGTGCAAAACAAATCACTATCAACCACTACTTATTGCTAAATGGGGCTACAAACTAATAACGGAGGTTCAGAGAAAGTCAAAAAAAGGCGCATAAGAGAGTGCTAAAAAGTATTTCATTTGTCTACCAATCCATGAACTATGGCTTTTTAATGTAATAGCGTTGCATTAAAAAACTTGAGCTGCGTAGAAATAAATATTTCTACTGCCAAGTTGGGCGGGTCCAGGCCTTGTGGTTTAAAAGGTCTTAGGGTTCATACAGACGGACATACTTTTACTAATTCACTTACATATTATAGCATATACATATGTAGACAGTTTAAAGCGCATTCATATCAATTAAGAATAGTCTCGAGTATAAGAGGTACTTTATTTTGTAAATAAAAAAGTATTTAATATAGTCAACCAATTTTTATAATGCAATGAATGTAAAAATGGAGCTTTTCATGTTTTTAAATAAACCTGAACTGCATATAAATTAAATTACATACATGCTGAGTTTCGTGACCCTATAGCTTCTGCTTCAAATGATTTAGGCGTTCAAGCTGATTTGGCCTTATTGCTTTGTCTAAAACGCATACAAATTCGATACAATCGAATCGCTATCTGGACAGTTGATAGGGCATTAATAGCAACTACGTAGCCGTCACTTAGCTCTTTCAAGGCGCTTTTTGGCGTCGCTGCCCGCACTGCCACCTCTCGCTATCGGTATTGGCCACTAAATATTACGTCACATTTACACAAAATGCAAACGGCCGATCATTGCAAACAAAAATGCACAGTAAATGATTTGGCACAGCAGCAGCAGCAGCAGCACCACCACCACCACCACCAACAACAACAGCAACGAAAACAACAAATATGCATATCAATTAATGCTCGTATTTCTTTTTTAACGATTTCTTTTGGTTTGGGGCTAGTGCTGGTACTGGTGTTAGGGTTGGGCCTCAGCGGTGATTTTCGCAAACTTGAAATGAAAAGGTATTTGTGAATCTATTTGTGTTTCTGTATTGTAATTCATGTTTTATTTATAAATTATAAAGTCGTTTGTCTTTTCAAAACGCACACATATTCAGTGCGCATTTTTTTTTTTTTTTACACAATATTTGTTTAATATTTTTGGCTTATCACACAGTATTCAAGATTTAATTTTTGAAATATTTTCACAACCAGCACATTTCGAATTTAGAAGATGGCAGCGGAATGTGTGTGTGTGTGTGCATGAGTATGTCTGTGTGTGTGTGTGTGTGTGTGTGTTGGAGCATCTTTCGCTAGTGTTTAGATTTGTTATGGCTTTTCGACCTTGTCTAGTCTATATTTGGTGGTTATGTTCGATTCGAGCGCACCACCGATGAGTAACCATGAAGCACCTCCACACCATCTTCGTTGAAGATGCGTTCGATGTGTGGAGCAGGTTTGTGGAGAGCTCGCGCTTCGGGTCCAACCACTGCACTAGACAGAGTTGTCTGCTCCTCAGACGAGCTGCTTTTGACTGTGGTGGTGGTGGGTGGTGCTGGAGTGGTAGTGGTTGTTGTCTCCAACAAATTTGGTGAACCGCTTGTAGTGGTGAGGAGTGCCAAAGGTGTTGGCACGGTTGTGGTTGTTGTTGGTGTGGGTGTGGTAAAGGGTACGGCTGTTGTTGTGGTTGTTGTCGGTGCCGTTGTGGATGTAGTTTCGGATGTAGTTGTTGCTTTCTCAGTCGTCGAAGTAGTTGTTGCCTCAGTGGTAGTTGTTGTTGGCTCAGTGGTTGTGGTTGTTGCTTCAGTGGTTGTGGTTGTTGCTTCAGTGGTTGTGGTTGTTGCCTCAGTGGTAGTTGTTGTTGCTTCAGTGGTGGTTGTTGTTGATGCCTCAGCTTGCAATTGATTGATAGTCACTTTGCTTAGAGTAACATTATCACCATCATCATTAGCCACATCTTCAGCTCCTTTGCTTCTGTCAACGGGTAGAGTGGTTACCTCAGGCTGTGGTGGCAACGTAGTCTGTACCACTGAGAGCATTGTGGTGATTTTCTCCGGCAAACTGGTAGTAGTGTGAGCCAGTATTGTTGTGGCTCTCTCCGGCAAGTTTGTGGTGGTTGCCAGCTCATTGCTGTCGTCGAACTTTGGCTCTTCGATCAAATTAGCTTCCAGCAGCTTGACATGACTGTTGCCATCACCTATGCTTTCCTCATTGCTCACACTCACCACAAGTAGTTGAACAGGCTCGGCATTCTGGGAGCTCGACTCTGTCGCTTTCGCTTCCGCACGCGAAGTTGTGATCTCTGTGCTTGTCTCTTGGCTATCTGTGGTTATAATGAAGCTCGCTTCAGTGGTGAGTGGCACCATACGCTGATCACTCTCTCTACTCTCGCTGGGACTCATCTCATCCGCGAGATGTGCTGTGGCATGCTGTAGGAGCTTTGAGTTAGTTCGGGATATATTCAGCTTAGTGGTGGGCGTGTAGATCTCCTCGGGCATTGTGCTAGTGATGAACAGTTCGGGCTCTGTTGTCGTTTCGGGACCGAGTTCCATATTTGTAGTTGGAGGCAAAGTCGTTTCCTCATTTGGTATCGGCGCGTATTTCTTAAGCTGTGCGGAGGCCTGCATCTCATGCTCATTGAGGAGGTGTGCTAGGGACTTCTGGTGAGGTAATTCGGTAGCTAAAATAGGTAATGTTGTGGTTATGGGTGGGTTGCTGGTAGTGGTGACTTCATCATCTAAGCTTTCCGTAAGCATTGGCACCGTTGTCGTAGTGGTGCGCATTGTAAAGCCCGTTGTGGTGGAGGGTTGCGTAGACTCGGCTATAATTGGGTTTTCGCTGGAAACTGGTGTGGTAACCACCTCTTCGGCCAGCACCGGCACTGTGGTATTTATTTTGACTATCTGCTCCGGGGTCTCTGTATTTAACACTGGCTCTGTCATCGCATATACCTCCTCTCCCTGTTCACGTACCTCGGCCGTTGATGTGTCATCCTCCCCGGGCTCGGCCGTGAAGGCGGTGGTGCTTGCTGAAGCTCGGGCTGAACTCATCCATGATTCGGTCGTGGTCAGTGCTATGGTGGTGGTCTCTGTGCGGTAAGATGCATCGCCGAGTATTGACCCGTCAGCTTGCGTGAAACCATGCACCATGGTTGTGGCCTGTGCCAATTGCTCGGAGTTTTCCTCGTTGTCTTCTTCATAGAGCGCACTCATGTGAGTGGTTGGATATATGTCGTTCATGTCTAGCAGTGGTGCTTGGGTTGTGTGCTCCACAAACTCGGTTTGTAAGATGAATCTATCCTCGGACATATCCAAATCATAATCGTTCTCGTTGCTCTCAAATTGGTTTGGTTTTTTCAAAAACATTTCCCGGGCTACTTTATCGATAGCAACCTTACGCGGATCTATAGGTTGTGGCGTTGTTGTTTTTTGTCTTTTGTTTGTTTTTGGTGCCCTTCTTCCTGCCTTTGTTGTTGGGTCTGTTGTTGTAGCTGCTGCCTTTATGGCTGCATGTTGTGGCATTGTTGTGAACTCTGGCTCCGACCAAGACATGCCCATATGGCTGAGCTGCTTGGGCAGCGGCTTAGGCTTATGCTCAGTCTCCACTTGCTTTACCAAATAGACTGCCGGTGGTCCCTCATCGATGATGTGCTCTGTCTGATTCAAGTGCTTCTCATGCGCCTTCTCACGCTCCAATTGCCGCAATACAGAATCCGGCAGTGGTTCTTCGGTGGTGATGGTGGGATCCGCAGGTGCATCAGTAAACGAACTATACATGGTGCTGTCTGTGGTCAGAATATCCAGGTCCGAGGTTGGGTATGTGAAGGTTTCTGTTTCCATTTGAGCCGCTGTCGTCGTCATTAACTCAGTATTGGTCTGAGTTGTTCCCCGATTGGCCCTTTTGCCGGCCTTCGAGGTGGGCGCTGCATCGCTCAGGGTCGCTGCCAAAAGCGTCAGCGCAAGCGCCGTAATCATTCTTTGCTTTGGCATGTTTGTCGTTGGAATGCGATCGCGTTTTGCTGTGACAATGAATTAGTTTAGAGCGCGCCAGATATAATGATATATAAATGTGAGTATATAATGAAAACTAGTCGCACGCGCACTATTCAACGTTCACTTTGGCCCGTTGGCCTTTCGTTTGTATATAGTTGATTAAAAAACTTGCTCCTGTGCTCTCTCAACTGCTACTGCTATTGCTGCTATTACTGGCACTGATACTGGTACTGGTAGTGCTACTTCCGCTCAGCTGCGACTCGGATCTGGCCGTCGGTTACGGCGGACTTGTGTTGTTGGCTGACTTGTGACTAGTCTTGTTTACGGCGAGGAACTAAACGGCTTGCCGCTTTGACTTGAGCTTTTAAACGACCGCACACTCTACACGAAAGCCACCAACTCTGCAGCAAGCTTGCTTACAATTTGCAGTCTCTCAGCGCGTTCATTCTGCTTATATTTTGTCCCTTTTGGTATTTCAGCTGCTTTGTGGCCAACTGCTTTTCCCGATGCTGACGCCACGTCACTTTTGAACTTGATTATTTCTTTTTTTTTTTTGCAAACTCAGCACTTGGCCCAATTCCGTGCCATGTAATTCGGTCGCAAAAATATCAAAACATCTTTGGCTAGCCACTTAATTTCACTTTCAACGCTGCGCGATCGGCTCACCTGTTATCGACTGCTGCTGGCCAGACCCACAAACCGGCTCTGTGGCAATTACCATCTTACGAGCTGGCGATATTGCTGCCTCGTACGCTTACCATCGCGCACCTTGCTCTCCCATCATCATTTTCAGTTATTCAACGTTGTTTGTTGTTCCATTCCCAAAGTCCATCAATAAAGGCTGCTTTATTATTAATTCGCATTTGATGTACTTTTGTCAACACGTTGTCGTGGCCAGCCGTACAATGGCACTAGCCCACAACTGTTTTGAGATGCATAGTCGTCGTGACCGTCTGACAATTTTTTTTTGGAATAAGGCCGCAGGTTTAATGACTTCAACAATAAGAGTAGCCGGGCTACGTAGGCGCTAAATTGGGTGAGTAAGCTAAGCTAAGCACGTGAAAGAAGTATATTTTAAAGCAAATATGCTGCATTAAAGCATTTTCAATAATAAATGAAAACGATTTTAAAACGTTAAATTATATGTTCTATATGCCATTATCTTTGCGATCGCGAATAACGAAAAACATGAATGAATATCAAAGAAGTAACTAACAATTGTACAAGGTGTGTTCCAAAGTAAAAAAAAACAGAACAAATGGTTTTTTCGGCAAAATCAATTTATTTTATTCAAAATAGTCTCCTTCTGCTTCAATACAGCTTTTTGCACGATCCAAAAGCTCGTTGGCCGGTATGGCCGCCAGTATGCCGGTGCAAGCCTTTTGAATGGCCTCTACGTCTGCATGACGCTTTCCTTTCATGGGCAAATTCATTTTTCCGAAAAGGTAGAAGTCGCACGGTGCCATATCAGGTGAATACGGCGAGTGGTTAATGGTTAAAATGTGATTTTTGGTCAAATAATCGGTCACAAGCGTCGATCGATGAGATGGATTCTGGATTTTTGGTCGTCAGTCAATTTGTGCAGAACAAACCGTGCACACACCTTTCGTAATCTCAAATTTCAATGATGATTTCGGCTGATTTTTGATGAATTCACATTCGCACAGTTTCGATGGAATTTTCGGTGATGACGAATTTTGATTGGCCCACATGTGGATCGTCATTTATGTCCTCACGACCACTTTGAAAACGTTGAAACCACTCGTGCACTCTGCCATCAATTGAAACGTTTCGGTAAAAGTTTTACCAATTTTAAAGCAAAATTTAATGTTGGCTCTTTGTTCGAAGCTCATTTTCGCACCGATAACACAAACATACTGACACTTAAAACGCAATAACTTCACTTCCAATTGTCATGAAATTCCCACTGGACCAGTCGACATATAGATAGCGCCACCAGGGGGCGCTAGATTCAAAAAGTCCTGTTTACTTTGGAACACACCTTGTATTAATTATAATTATATTACAATTATGTGTGCAAAGTTTGGTTTAGGTAGCATTTGAAATGTGGACGCTATTGACGAAATTCTGTAGCGGGGGAAGGGGGGGAAAATTAAAAAAAAATAAAATAAACTCGTCCTTTCTTGTACCCAGGAGAATCGCTATACCAACTTTGGTTGTTCTAGCTTTTATTTCTGAAATCCTTGCGTTCATCCAGACGGACGGACGGATATTAAATTTATAGTGTGAGAATATTAAATCGCAAGTGATGATGTGATGACGTGGGTTGGATTCACGCCAAAGGTTTATTTTTTATGATTATAAAATATTTTGTCCACTCTTTTCAATATTGACATTTCCATTATGCATATTTTATTTCTATATATATTATATATCTTCCATAGAACGCATTTTTAGCAGAAAGTAGTAATTTTAAAGTTTTTTTTATGCCTTTTAGTACGGATACAGTGTGGATCAATATTAATATTAAAAGTGAGGAGCAGCTGATTGAATAACACTTACTGGACACATAGCTAAAGACCATATCTGTATGTCAATCGGTTACACTGTGTATTTATACCACAAAACCGCTGAAAACCGACTTGAGAATTCTAGTCAATTGAAATTTAATATATTTCTAGTATATTTAAATCGACTACAAAAAACTTCAAATAAAGTTGAGAAAAATATTATAATTTACTATGGAATATAGTAATTTAACTATTTGTTTTTTGAAGTGTGTGCATATTAATATTTAATATGGTATGGTTTTATTGAATATGACACACTTAAATTACGAAGTTTTACACTTTGTTTTGAATATTATTCATATTTAAATCACTAATGGAATAAGTTTTTAATAAAGTTTACGATGTTTATATTTGATTTGAATATGAAAATATTCATCTGTACTATGCAACTTTTTCAGTGTATGTAATTTCTTGTTCTTGGGCATTTCCAGAACTTGATAAGTGCGTCTTCTTTAACAACAATTGGACGAAACACTTGGAAAATGACATTTTTACATTAATTTAATAACTTTAAGGCCCACATCGCGCGGAAGTTCGTAACAGGGCTAACGAATTTGCTTGCCACAACCTTAAACTGAATTGACAGTAAGTAGTAAAACTTTCGTTTCCGTTTTAAATAATTTTGAAATAAACATTAACAGCATGCGGCAATGGAGCGGCAGTAATCAGCAAGCAATAAAGTCCGCATGCCTCAACCCCCACTCTCACTCCCACTCTAGCCCCCACTCGCCCCATGCATGTACTCGTAACTGCCAAGAGAGACACTTCAAAGCTGAAATGTAAAGCGCCTCATTTTACCAAATTTGCATACAGAATGTTTCTCAATTTGTGCTAATGATTTTCCAAGGCATAAAACTGAAGCCAAAAGTGAAACTCAAAGCGCTCGTTCTACGTACTCGTATTGGTAAGTTCCAATTATTAAGCAGCGGCGGCCATTGCCAAATGGAAATGCCAAAAGACTTAGAGCAGGAAGATCAAGCAAATGTAGGGAGCCTTATTACTCGGATACCCAAATTGTATTTAGATTACACTTTGCTTGAGTAAATTGTTGAAATGTGTCTAGGCTTTGATTTTGTGCGTAGTTAATGCTGCCGTACTTTAATAAGTGCTCGGCTTCTGCTTGGTTTTGCATTTGAAGGGCACGCATAAATGACAGCGGCTGCAAACGGTGCGTATGATTAATATTTTGTTTCCACATGATGGCAGTCATGCGCACACAAATTCAATAAACAATTCATCATTTTCTAAACGTCTTAGGCCAAAACGCCGCCAACGGTTTCGCCCTGTGTCCGGTTTTCAAAATAAAACAAAATGAAAACATAAAACGGAAAATGGAAAAAGGAAGAACTTTGCACAATGGTGGCAATTTTGTTGGCGCTTTCGCAATTTTGCATAAATATTTCAAATTACGCGCAAAATTCATAAAATTTTGACAAAGTACACTCGAACAAAATATAGTTTTTGGAAGTAATTGCAGATATTTATAGAAAGGTAAATAATTATGAAAAATTATATTTAGAAATAATGGATGATGTTAAAACTTATATGATTAGAGAGAGCGGGAGGAAGAGTGAATACTTCAAGTAAAATTTTTTAGAACAAATAAGGAAAAAATAAAATATAATTTATAAGTTTCAAAAAGAGAGTTCCACTGCAAGGCTCAAATCGGACTTAGTAGTGGTGAAACCTTAGGATCTTCTCATTAAGACCAAATTACACATAATGTAGGCATCATTGTTAAGGACGCACAAAGGCGCTGGTACATCAATGCACATATATTTTATATAAGAGATTGCAAGCATTGCGAACTCATTACTAACATTATGGAATTCATATTGTTTTGCTATTCATTTGCTATTTGCTATATTAATTAAGCCATACCAAATATAGTTTATATGTGAATAATTATTACATCAAGAGAATAGAAAAAGCATTAATTTCAAAAGAGAAGATTAATGAAGAATGTATGAACTTTCAATTCGTGAAATCAGATACTGCTAAAGCTTTGGCATCACATTGATGGTAATACCTTGAGCCTTGAGTTGTAAAGATATTTTCTCACAAATTTGTACATTTACAAAATCATTAAAAATTTCCCTCACTGAAATCATTTCAAGCCAATGAATAACTGTACATTTGAAAACTACTCTTCAGTGTATACTTTTCATGCGATACTTTTGATATTTATTGTTGCTTTAGGCTATGGTCACGCTTTGAATAAAATGTTACCTTTATTCACAACTATATTAATTATTAGCAGCACAAAAATTGAAAGTTTACTTCCGTTGGCTCACTTCATACAATAATTACATTTTGGCTATAAAATTCTACTCCTATTACATATATACATACTTCATTATGCATGTTTTGGAACAGTGTAGAATATAGCCTTCTTGAACCAACCATCAATTGACTCCTCTTGACTTGAACAAACTAATTTCGCTGTGTTGGCTGGCCCCCAAAGTCCTTTCGCCATTTTATAAGTCATATTTATGATGGGCACTTGGGCGCCTGCCAAAAGCAAAGTCCTCGCATTGCTGCCTGCCAAGTGGCCTTTGTGCTTTCAGCGCTCAATTTAAGTGAGTGCTCAGCCCCCCAACCCCTCTGTCGAGTCGACTACGGGCTGTCAGTGTATTTTAATGATCTTATTGAAGTTTGCGCGTTGACTGAAAGGTGTTATTTACCATTTGGAGAGCCAAGACGCCAAACTGGCAGCCAACTAAATTATTGCCAACAGCTCCCACTCTTAACTTTTTGTGCTACCTGTTTTTCCTGCACTTTGTAGCTTTTGCATGTAGCTGGCCTCATTAGGATGTTTATTAAACTAAGCTACTTCGTACCACTTGAGGCATGAAGGCTCATCTAAGGCGAGCAGAAATTGTTGCCCACCTCCTGCTGTTGATGTTTGACTTATCGGCGCAGAAAAATCAGCGCTCTAAGCACAAAATATTTGGGTGCCCTTATTGAAACTTCAACTGCACATTAAATAAATCATCGAGAACATAATGCGCACTCACACTTGCCGATTAACGCCCACCGCAACGCCCACGCCTACTGGCTACATGTTTCCGCTAACTCCCTTCGCCCTTACATGCTCTTCATGTTCCCACTTCCCCATAAATGCGACCGCCATAGACAATTTTGTTTCGCATTGGCGCCCATTGTGCAAATTTCTGCTGACTCCGAATGT